CAATCTCATCAAACATCAAAACAACCGTCTTGGGTGGGAGAATGGATATATCTGTACAACTAACGGATAACCTAAAGAAGTATATTATCCAACAAGGATTCAATCGCAACACACTTCCACATTTCGAGCGAGTAGATCGGCATGCCTATAATTACACTACAAAATAAATCTACATCTTATTAAACATCCATTAAATTGTCTCGGGGTGAGGATGAACATGCCTACATTTCTTTGCAGCCAAAAATGAATTCGTTAGAAACAAGACACAATATAATTTCATATTTTAACGAATAATATGTTGACACATTATTTTGTTTTCTATGATTATGGTGTTTAACGAAGCGCGTTAAAATCCACTTTTAAACCATCTTGTTCATAGTGTGATTTTCGTGACTCTGCAATTGAGTTCCAGTTTATACCTGTCACAATGTCATGAAAAATACATTCGACTCAACGCTTATACAAAATTGATCGAAGTGCAATAAAATTCATAATTCAACATCCTTCTTAAGTGTCTCATAGCATTGGGTGTTTACTTCAGTTTCAAATAATGGCTACATCATATCAAATACTTGTTCTAACTTTATGTAGCACCGTGTTCGTGTTTGAAGGCGAATGCGAACATGTTCGCCTGAACGCGAGCAAACACCCAATACTTTCAAAACACGAACATAAAAAATATTAAAAAAAAAAAACGATTCTCAGAAAAATGTGAAACAAATATATGTTATGTAAAAAAACAACAATACAAACAACTTTTGTTTGGGAGTTGTGTCAAAATTAGTAGCCGATCATGAGTTAAAAATCAAGAACTTTTTTTTTTAATATTTTTTTACCACAAAAAAGTTATGTTCGTCCGAACATGTTCGTGAGCTGTTCGCGTGAACATGAACGGGTGCGAATTCGTTCAGCGTGCTACGTAGTTTTAAAATATATAATTTATCAAAGTGCAATGAAATTCATATTTAAACCAACTTGTTCATAATCTGATTGCCTTGATTCATCAATTGCATTCTAATTTGTACCAGCTACAATGTAATGTAAAATATATCTAACTAAATGCTCATACTAAAAATGATTGAAATGCGATGAAATCCAAAGTTTAACCTTCTCGTTTAGCGTCTCATTGTGCTGATTGTTAACTTCAGTTTCAATGACAATAATATGTTAATAACGTCCGTTAGGTTACAATATTTATCAAAGTCAAACGAGATCCATATTTAAACCATCTCGTTCACTGTGTGATTGCAATGACTCTTAAATTGAGTTCCAATTTACGCCTGACACAATGTCATGTAAAATACATCTGACTAAATGGTCATACAAAATTGATCGAAGTGCCATGAAATCCAGAGTTGAACCTTATCGTTAAGTGTGTGATTGTCGTGAATCTCTACTTCAGTTTCAATTTAGGACCTATTAATTGCGTTTTTCGTGTTCACTACTCGTATCCTAAGATTCATTGAAGTTTTTAGTATAGTGATTTTAGCTATAAATCAATAGCAACCAAGTACCAATTTAAAATATAATGTCATATTTTAACGAATAACTTTTTTTTTTTTTTTTTTTTTAAACGAAATTAAAAGGAAGTTTTTTGGCTGAAAACTTGTTCGCATCTGTTGCTCCTGAGGGTCCGGTGTTCGTAAAACGCTAGACCTTTTGGATGCATGTGGATTTATCTTGAGACTCGATACGTCAAGGAGGTCCCGTTTCCCCTTGAAAGTATCCGGTTTCGAGCTAAGTCCACATACATCTATGAGCTCGAGTATTTTAAGAACGTAAAACCCGCAAAGGCAGCACATTTCGATAAGTTTTCGTAAAAAAAAAACTTGGTTTTAATTTCACTCACAAAATGAAACACGTCCATTTTGACAAAATGGTAGTTGATTGGTGAAATTGTAGTTATACCCAACTACCCGACCGCCCAAATTATCCTTGAATCCAGGGGTTGTTTACCCATACTAGTCCTCCGATGTGGGAGGGGTTCGACGCCCGAATAAGCAGTGTCGTCGCCCGTACATCGTCCGGGGGGTCTCCGTACGGCCTGTACGTACGGACGGACGAACGATCGTACGGGCGTACGGATGACGGTCGTCCGAAGGTGTTTTAGGGGCAAATAAAAATCAAAAAATAAAAAAGAAAATATGGGGTTGTAGATCTTTTTGAGGTTTACAACCCCATATTTATACATATATTTTGCCTCATAAAGGATTTTTGAAAAATCAAAAACAAAAAAAGAGAAAAAATAAGAAAAAAAAAGAATTTGGTAGCTAGACAAAACGGGCAATAGCCCCATATGAGTGTGTGTGCGTGTGCGTGTGTGTGTGTGTGTGTGTGTGTGTGTGTGTGTGTGTGTCAGTGTATGTGTACATATGTGTGTGTGTGTATATGTGTGTGTGTGTGCTTGTGTGTGTGTGTGTGTTCGCAAGGGGGAGG